AAAGGCTGATTGTTCGGTGGCATACGGCTCTACTCACCCTCCACATTCCCGTTGCCTCTTTTCAAAGTGGGGACAATTGTGAAGCTGATGATTATGATGCAAAATCGGTCTTTTCATTTCTGGGCTACGCACAAAGGCCAATCACCATACATACAAGAGCCAGGGTCTACCTTCTTTCACCGTGTTCACTCGAGCGTGGGCCGAGAATAATAGCTGAAAAGCGGGCTGAGGATCTCAATTTTTACGGCGGCTATGCCGCTCCCCGGCACGAAGGGGTTAATAAGTACATATGCATATTCTGCATTGAGAAATGAAACATTTAACATCAACACCAAACAAGACAAAATTAAACAAAGAGACCAATCACATAAAAATCAGTGAACACACTTTAATTATACAGTTGGGGACCCTGAACAATAGAGGACAATAAGGTCCCCGATTGACAGAGGGTCCCCGATTGACAACTGTGTACAAAACATATGGATGGTCTTCTAAAAAAGTTTAAGTACAAACAAAAGAGGAACAATAGGGGGTCCCCAGTTGCAGGCAAATACACACTTGAGTGTACCTGTGGATCTTCACTTAAATTGGTTTGCAAAAAAAATGAAGAGGCGGTGCACCAAACACATCACACTGGTGATAATACAGCACCTCGGAATAGTTGACTAGATCGATGGCGCTTAACAAGTGTTGGTTAATTTTTATTATTATTATTATAATACTGGAGGCAGTATCTGGGTATCACTTCACTTTGCAGGTACAGGGTATGTACATGTACGTGTACGTGTACATGTACACAGACATGTACACGTACATGTACACGCACATCCACTGAACCTGCTTCAGCTAGCATGACAACACATGCCTTTACATTTTCACGACAAATTGTCTTGATGACACTCACCCGTGTCTAGAGCTCCCATAGCCAGACCCACCACTGAGATGACAGCTGCCAGAATCCAGAGGGTGTGACAAAACGGTGCGACAATTAGCCCAATCCCACTTGCCAGCAGAGACACAGCCATCAGCAAGGAGGGGTGGAACCATTCAAACGTCACCCCACCGACCACGGACCCAGCCAGGTAACCAATGCTACGGCCTACGAAGACGTAGGAGATTTTGGGGAGGCTGACAGCCAGCTGGTCCTTGAGTGCCACTAAGGTTGGACCCAGAACAGCGATAGCCAAACCCTGCAGGCAAAATATTAAGGAACAAGTAAGCAAACATCTAGGTTATGATTCTCAAGTATGGTACCCCTACAGACAGAGTTGGACTCTGTACCTTTCAAGTACAAAGATTACAACTACATGTACGTGCATGTACCGGTACATTTACATGTATAATGAACTGGTAAGGTTTGAAAAGAGATTGCAAACTAGATTTCAATTGTTCAAAGGTGCGATTACCAAACTAAACCGATGACTAGTCTTACGCCTCTTACAGTTTTGTAAAAAAAATTAAAGTGTTTAAGATAATAACACTGGAAAGGTTCTCTTCAATCTCTTGGAGTATGTACATGCTGCATTGTTAAATCTTCCATATGATGCCGGTTTGTCCATTCACGCTGCTCGCATGCATGTACAGGCAGATCATGTGGATCTACAGGTATACAATGTACACTGCACATAGCAAATTCAACACATGTACATATATGTGATATACTTGTACAGTAGCGGTACATGTACACTGTAAACTTGGTGCACTGGACATGGACATGTACACCTGTACAGTACATGAATATGTATACATGTATGTACAGTACTCAACCACAAATTCATTTACTGGGGGGAATGAAGGATTTTAATCCATCAATACGTGCATCAGGCCTTCTCAAAATTTTGTCTTTGCATACTGTACATGTACACTGTACATGTACATGTTAATTTGGCCACTCTGGCCAGTTTTACATGTACATTAAGATCACTGACTACCAAAATAATCCGTCAGACGACTCGTTTCCATCACAAGAGCTCAATGGCTTTCCAGTGTACGTATGACCCTGAACATCAGCAAAACTACCGGTAAGTTTTGGAAGGAGACATACCAGTACAGTACGGTACCAGTAGATTCAGTGCAGGCACAGATCGACATCTTATCATGCATTGCAACGTCTGTGTGCATTGATTCTGAGAGATGTTAAGACACCTTGCAATGGGTTTGCAAGCATCTGAAAACAAGGATTTTCCAGCTTTTAATAACTTTACGGATGTTTGTGGAAAAAGGGTACAACGGCCAAGGTAAATGTAGGGCAAGCCAAAACTGGCCGTGGGGACGGAGATTTTTTGTGAGGCACCTCGGCCAGCGAGAAACGCAATGACAGCACTGCCTGTCATGGCCATCGCTTATTTCAAGGCCTGATGAATAATTGCCTATCGGTCCGTACGCACCGCTGAAAATCATGGGCCATGCAGACTACCAGATTCTACAAGACTGGTTTTCTGGCAGTTCATCAGTACCCGTAGATGTAGCCCTCTCCACTCATACCAGCACTGTGTATTTGGCTGTGCTCGCTAGAGCATACTGCCTGCACGGTGCACCAGCCAAACCATTAAAAACCAGTCTTGGGGCAAGACTAACCTTCGCAGACCATATTCAAGAAATATCGGAGGCTTTTGGAAGTACCGGTATTGAGGGCGTATCCTACCCAAAGGGGCCTACATGTGGGCGGTTATGGTTAAAGATTTTTAGTGGAGTTATGCACAGTATACCAGTACATGTACATACATGTATATACGTGTGCCAGTACTTTGACACCAATTCCATAACATTTGGATGTACTAGTACATGTACATGTTACATGTACACATGTACGTATAATTTGTTCAAATTGTCACAATGAGCCAGTTCAGTTTTTAGCAAAACGTTGAGGTGTTTCAGGAACAAAGCGCGTACATATGTACGTACCGGGTACAAGTCAATGTATGGCTGCGCTGATAGGACAGACTATTCACAACCGCGCATACCAATAGCCATTCCTGAATAGCATGGTTCTGAGCATGCCCTGCTGGAATACCAAACTGGTTCAGCAAGATGCCAGACAATGCAAGGTTGCTTTAGATACGTACATGTCTAAAGAAAAGTGAATTTGAGGATGGTGGTGGGACATGAATATTTGTCAGTTTTTCATGAACTCCAGAATATTTTGACTGATCTTGGTGTGATTTGGAAATGTGTAGGTATTTACGGGTATAACGCATGGGGAGAAAAGGTGCTGACTTGATACGACAGGCAGGGGAGAATTGAGGGTTCAACTCACCAGACTGAGGAAGGCAGCGCAGAGTGCCAAAGTCCTCTTCAACCGTCTGTCCTCCTTCGGACCGTTCATAACATCGTCCACATTCTTGACCCCATTTCCCAGCAGCCCCCGTGTTTGCTGATTGGTCCGGGACTTGGAGAACAGAACGTCATCGTCATCGGAATCAGCCATGCCCGACGTACTTATTCAATCTGCTTCTATACCAAAACCGAAAGCGTGGGCTTAATCGGATTAAATCTAATAGCACAAATAATACCGGTAGATGGCCCTGGCTGCCTGCCACTTTTGCTGCCACACAAAAGTGGATTGTTTGAGAGTGCGCAAGGGTAAGAATATTTCCCTTTAGGTGAAAGATCAAAATTTGCTCTTCCGTTTGGCTTCATCTACTGGCAGTGAAATCGATCATTGAATCTGCCACCAAACGACACTCTTTCCACTTGGTCCGTTACTGCCAACTGCAAAGCTACATATGTGTATTAACCATGGAAATGTTAAGTTTTCCTGTACATGGTAACTATCTCAATTCGTCTTTGCCTACATGTACTTGTGCAGTATTTCTCTTGCTCAAACATCAAATTGTGAATTAAAGCAGTTTTCCGTTACTTTTTCCTGTAAACATGGTAAATGTACAGTTTGTGGTTTGCTGGATTTTCTGAGGACAGAAAAGTTGAAAAGAGGGCATTCTGCCCTTTCTAGAGATATATTTCTCTTTTCCATACATCAAGTAGTTTTGCTATTACAGTAAGTTTTATCTCGGTATACTTTTTATGTAGACACCCTGTACATGTCTCATGCCAAAACCAGGACACATGTACCGGTACATGTCGCTTTACACCTGTATGAACAAGTACCGTACCTGCGTAATTCCAGAAATTAGGGGTCCAACTGTGTGACATTTTTGTATCCCTGTTACATCTGACCTTTGTTTGGCAGGTACCGGTACAGGTAATTTGCGTTAGTTCACAATCATAATCACTCTTGGATATTAGAACATGTGTTCTGAACTTACATGTACAAAATCATATGTCAGACATGTCAGATGTGACAGGGACACCAATAAAAAATAGACCCGTAATTTCTGGAATTACCCACCTCCAGTGGACCAGTACCGTACAGTGGAAGTCTACATGTACATGTATCATGTGTATCGAGAACAATAAGCAATACAGAAGTGACATTTTGGGAACTTCACTTACATACATGTACATGTACATGTATGTACTGGGTAGCATCACATGTATACTTTCATTGCCCACCTGTACAGGTGTACTACATGTACATATACATGTACATGTATGTACATGTAAATGTACATGTATGTACATGTATGTACATGTAAATGTACATGTATGTAAATTGCATGTATGTACCCGGTACAGTAATAAAGTACATGTGCAGGTAGATGTGTACACGTACTGTTCCGTATGTGCATTGTAAGAACAGTCATTTCACTTCCACTTTTTGCACACTGTCTGTGATGACCAACGAATAAAGTCAGTAAATTTGTAAAGCTTTACAACTTACATACATGTAAGAACTGGCACAACACAGCACTTAGATAGGTTTCTGCACATGGTCAAGTGCATTGGATACGGGAATCAGACCAGTCTACAACGAATGGATCTGCAACTTTACTTGCCTTTAAAAAAATCCTCCAGGGATATCTACTGAAAAGGAAAAGAAACATACTCATATACGCGATCTGATTGAGAAAATGAAGAAGATTAATTAAAGTGGAAGAAAAGTTGGAAAAACCTAAATCCTTTGACCAGTGGATTCGATCCAAGCATATCAAATGAGTCTAGTACATACCAATTGGGCCACTGCAGGCCATGATGAAAACGGGATTGTTTTGCAAGTCCCTGGGAAGAGAATGGTACCCCGATACCTTGGAGGTAGGAAAAGATGCCGATACGGACATCACAAGTTTCCCTAGATGGATCGGGAGTGAGAGTCCGTGCCACACTAGTGGGGATAAAGTTTCCCAGGCTACACTAACAGACTGAAGTCAGAAGTCAGAGACCATGTACAGGGTATCAGGCCTAGTTGCATAGCATGCCTAGTGAATCTCTTATTTCTCCACTTACTGTAAAAGCCAATCGGAAAAAAGCCCACTCTGGCGATATTGGAAAAAAAGATCGAGATTCACCCCCCCCCCCTAAAGCGGGGTTAAAATGGGCAAACCGGCGCTGGCAAGGAAGGGCCGTATCACTATCTACTTCACCCCCTGATCACTGGACCGTGGCGCCAGCGAACCTTTTGTGTATTCGGTGTATCAAAGAGGCCTAGAGGAATAAAACACGGTTGTACCATTCCTCCATGGTTGTACAAACTTGTAACTAAACTGTAATTTTAAAAAAAAAGTCCTCCAAGGCACCAGCAATGCATAACCCTCAACGTAAAGCTCAGGCATACTTTCAAGTTACATGAACATGACTTACGATTTGAAAACTTTGACACCAAGCCCAGACAATTTACACACCATGTGAAGCTAGACATGCCAGATTTAGAATGCAAGGCGACACGTCATGCAGTCATATCATGTGCAAATATCGTATAGCGCCGCAAAGCGGCGCAAGATCGCGAACTTAGCCGTGAATACACGTAAATCACTGTTATCGCGGAGTGCCATTCAAGCAAGCGATACGCCTGTGCAATGCACTTAATGCACAGGCGCAGGCGCATCGGCAGGCATGTGCACCTGGCGAGCCTGCGCCCAAGCATTACTGTAAACTGCGCAAGCGTATCGCTTCCTCAAATGGCGATTATGGTAATTACCGCTTTTAAGCAGAGTTATCCATCTTGCGCCTTCGGCACTGTACGATCTTTGGTCATGTGTTACGAGTCCACGCGCGCATGAGCATTCCGGAAATATTGGGGGAAGCCCCTAATCTCAATATCACGAAACTTCAGAGGGCGCTCTTTGGGAGCCTCCTGCACAGATTTGGTTGCACTAGTAGTAATGATGGATCGAAACGAAGAAAAGTATCCAAAATCTAGAAACCGATTCCAAACATTGAATACGCTTTCTTGCTTTTCTGAAGAAGGATATAACAGTTTGTCTGTTGCCACTCAATGTGGCAGTATTTTGTGTGCAATGACAATCTTATTCAGTAAACAAAACAGAGAAATCAAACATCTTCAGTAAAATTGCGGGACACAGAAGAAAAACTCACTACCAGAAAGAGGACGAGCAGACGGAATTGTTGATCGGACTTTTTAAATTTCTGTTTTCCTGGCGTTCAGGGGGAACTTTTATGGAAGAAAAAATGGGGGAATTTCAGGCCCTCTTCCAGTCATTATAGGACAGAATAGTCAATAAGCCCCTCAGAGAGACATGGTGTACATTCCTCTGATCTTTGGCCATAATCGTAACTGTTTTGCCAACTTCTAAAGACAAAACTGCTCATTTTCTCCACCCGTAAATTAAAAAAAACACTAGAAAAAAAAAAAAAAGAACAGGGCGCCCCCCTTTTTGGTCTATTACCTTGGGCGCCACCATCTTGTCTTTACAGGGTGCATTACACCAAGATACGCTCCCATAGAGAACAGTGCAAAATCGGACCGAAATAGCGCCGCCTGTTGACTGTCGTGAATAGGTCGGCATCCCTTTTATCACTAGAAATTCAAGATTATGACCGGAAGATCACTTTTCGTTTCAATTTCATGGGGGTTAGCCACGAAAAAATTATTGGCCTTTCAAGGAAGATACCTCCAAAATTAAATAGCAGTAAAACTAAGCGCTCATTTCTGAACGTAGCGCCCGCCTCTTTCCAAAATAGGCCCGCAATTTTGGGCCTTTTGTGAAAAAAATACCCCGAACTGGAAACTATCAGTCCAGATTCGAGATTTATAGAAATATTTATGTGATCCCTCCTGGTAATGGTCTGTCTTATTGTAAAAATCCCGTGGGATCACAAAATATTAATGAGCTCGCGCGCAGAAATACAACGATTTGGTGGAATGCACCACTATGGGCAAACAGCAAACAATAGCTGCATGCTTGCACACATACCTAGCAGGAAGTCGTGTGACCCTTTGAGATGGAAGATTCTCATTAGTTGAGCTGTTCAACGACGCTCATATTTTATTAATTCCTAAGCCTCTAGAATCCTATAAATAGAGCAGATTCTCCCTAGCTTGTCGGTCATGTGCAGCGGGTCAAACCCTTGTTGAGAGAGCGGAACCTAACGTAGTGCGGCGGTTGGAACCTTCCTGAGAGAAGTGCGATAGTAACGATTCTTATGGCGAGGAAATATAACCATACGGATGCCCAGCTAACTTAGCTTGGACCGATGCGAGAGCAGTACGAGTTAGCCCAGGGTGCTAGTGGCAGTCATAGCGGCCCGTCACCGCCCGAATAACATTTGTGAAAGTGAAAAGCAAATTGCCGTAGAGGTCACCTTAATTTCTAGTAAAAAAGGCTTTTTTAATACGGGCAATTCACAATAGTGCGCTACCAAGAGTTTGCAACACGGTGGCCAATCTTAACGCGCGAAATTTGTCGACCCTCTCCAAACGCGCATTGGGTAGACAGATTTTGCGCATTGTGATTGGCCAACGCGTTGCAAACTCTTGGTGGCACACTGTTGTGAAACGGCGTATTACCGATCTGTTCCTCGGCGTGATCAGCGGCGGCGCTGTTCCTGAATGATTTCCCGCTATTTTCTATTACTGATGCTTATTAGGTGTAGTACAAATTTAAACACAGGCGGAAGATGACGGAGAACAGAAAGTGTCAGGCCGTTGAAATTTGGAAGGTGGGGTGAGGGGGGTTGGCGCCACATGATACTAGGGGGCGCTGTTCATGACAGATGACACCTGGCCCCTGAACTTTCCAACAAAATGGCGGATTTAAAGCTTTTAAAGTTTTTCTTCCATCTTTAGTGGTTTTGATAAGTATTTTTAGCATCGGAAAGTCCAAAAAAGTCCTTAAAATTCAACTCATTCTTTTCTCACCACGAAAAAGTCAGGATGGTGGCGATGATTCAATAGCAGGGGATGGAGAAGGAAATACCTTGACCTGCATCCCCCTGGGACTTATACTCCTTGATACACAGACAAGCCGACGTGCACTGAGCGCCCACTTCCACAAAACGTTTTTGTTCAAGTTCCACTTATGTTTCTGTTGTACAAGTCCACACTCATAGATTAACTTGTGCGAATCATGAGCACACAAAAACCCCCAAAAAACAAAACAAACAAACAAACAAACAAAAACAAACACATGAGGTAAAACAGCTAGACTTTTTCTACACTGAGCGTTTTCCTTTTTTTGGAGAGCCTAGTGGCGATTTGCCAGGTATCTGCCCCAATACAGGTTGAAAAAAGTGTTTGAAAATCCCTGAGATTTTAAGGACCAATGAGCTAATCATTTAAACCCTGCCTACCCCCTCCTCAAGGAACACAACCCCCAAAATGGGAAACGAGAAGTCAAAACTGTGGATTTTGTCATCTTCTTCAATGTGGGGAGTTTTCTTTGTGATGTGGCGGGTACATTAAGACCTGGGCCCGGGTAATTTTAGAGTTATTTGGGAGAAAGGAAATCAGGTGGCTATTTAAACACTTCTGAAATCCGTCGGAAAAAAAAAATGTCCACAAGGTATCTTGAGTAACACACGCAACGCTAGAGGGCGCTATTTCTGTCCGATTTATTTTGTGCCGTTGCTGAATAGTGCAACGGCCGAAGAGCACGTACATGTAATTTAGAAATGAGCATATTCTGATGTCCCGTTTTGTCTCTGAACATGGATCAGCCATGATTTGGCTCTACGTGGCAATATGCATGACGTATACTAAGTACAAGGAAACCTCCTGTGAGTATATTTTTCTGAGTCTTACGTCCGTCGATTGTGTGCGGTGATCATGGCGTGCACCCCATTAAATACGGAAGGTGTTTATGGTGTTGGTTACTTGGCTGCTCACATTATTTTGTTTCTCTATTTAGGTGTTTCCCCCTCCCACCTCTTAGGGCGGTAGTGATACTGGCGACACGTTTACGTCAACGTATCCGATTCATTGACAGTGATTGACAAGAAACCAAGGTTCTGCTAGCGAAAGTAACACCCTGTTTGTCTGCCTGCGCGCGGTCTTAATTGATCCTCGTATGAAGTAGACCTGTATATTTATGCACGGTTGTGCTTGTCCCATTCCACAGGCCGACCAGGACCTCCATGTCGTCCAGTAGCCGCAATATATCAAGTACTTTGCGTGAAGCAGTTGCCCCCTCCCCACCCCAGTTGACGGAAGTTGACAGTGTAGTTAGTCTTTGGCTTGCCATTGCCAATTATTCACAATTTGAGCGGGAAAGTCACTTGAATCCTATCAAATCGGTTTGTTATTACAATAACAATAGCAAGCATTTATAGAACACTCTTACACAAGGTATTGTAGCTCTATCTGTCTTTAGTATGTACTTATCTCGTCAAAATGGTTAGGAATGCTTGCCAAGGCCAGATCCAATCTACTGTAACAGTTTTATTCTGTAACGGCGTTTACTGTTAAGAACATTCACTGCAACTGTTTGTTTTGCTCAAATTTTTATTCATTCATTACATGTAAACATGGAAAACTTGTATTTACAGTGTAATAATTCTCTTGGGATTTTGCATAAATTTTTGCTCGGGACTATTTCTAGTGTTCTCTTTGATCGATCAGAGAGCCCCTCAACAGAAATCAAGATTCTCTCAGGTAGTAGCGCCAGAGAGCTGGTTAAAATGACCGTATTATACTCTGGAGGTTTCGTCTAAAACGCTTGCAAATGTGTATTTGTGAGACCAGTGTCGCGTTTGTTGTATCCCGAACAACAAAATGAATGCCATAAAATTAAAAGGCCCCTGGCTGTCCCTCGGACAGACCTACATCCCGACCGCGTTGTTAATTATTACTCAACTGTCTGGAGATACACCATGCACTTTCCTATTGAAAGAAAATGGTTCTTCAAGAGGAGACTGGTCTTCACTCTTCATGCTCGCGCGCGGCGGGAGCTTCCCCTGTTGAAACGTCGGACTTTACTTCCCTTTTAAACAGTCAACAACCCTTCTCCAGCGTGTTATGTAAGAGAAGAAATTGCTTGCCGGACCCATGCATGTGGCAAAACCTCGAGCACAGTGGAGACCCGTTCGGGGGCGCCTTTGTGAATTGTGAGACCAGACAGGTAAGAGGAATAATGATACTTAACTTTGGCTATCTTGTCCTATTTCGTTACAGAAACTCCATTCGAAGCCAGCTCAATAGCGTAATGGCCGATGAGCTGAACCGAGTCTTTCTGTGGGGCATTCCCCGCAGCTTGACTACAGTTTTCATCAAGTGCTTGAGTTACGTCGACGGGATCCAGATTGCCACCCAACTCTACGCAGACGCGTTCTATTTCGGCCCAGATGCTAAGCGGCCCGTCACCACTCCCCATCACCCGATGGGTCCGAAACTGAACGCCCTCTTGGACGGTATTTATAAGAGCAAGGTCGCAGCTTCGGGGGTGGACCCATCGTTGATGTCTCTTGAATCGATCCGCAGGATCTTAGAGGCGCCCTACCCAGGGAAGAAGGTCTTCTTGTGCAAAGATCAGGCCCAATATCTGGATGGTCGTTATGACATGTTGCCCAAGGGATTCAAGTACAGTTTCATAATCCGGCATCCTAACAAAGTATTCCCATCTTATAAGAAGCACGTGCTGGGAGCACAAATAGCGGACGACATGCGGACCTGGCCGCCCATAGTCCTTCCTCCGGGTCGCTGTTACAAGGAGCTGTGCGACTTGGTGGAGTACGTCCGAGAGAACATCGAGCCTTCACCGGTCATCCTGGATGCCGACGATCTGCTGCAGGACCCGGCGGGGATCTTGTCCACTTACTGCTCCAAGATGGGGATTCCGTACTCCAGCAAGCTGCTGTCTTGGAAGCCAGGCAGGGACATCACCAGCACTTGGGTGGGCACCAAGATCTGTATGAGTGTCGACGAGAAAGATCCGGCCTACAGGAATGTCTTCGAGAGTGAAGGGTTCATCAGACCCTCGCCCATCCCGGATCTAGACAGTTTGCCAGATGATGTGCAGGCGTGCGTTCGGTACAGCATTGGTTATTACGAAGACCTCCACCGTCAAAGAATCGTTGCATCCAGGTGAGATGCTAACCATCAATTGAAATCACGGGAGAGATTTACTGAAGAAACAAGAAACGAACACCCAAGAGACAAACAAACAAGGAACAGGTCGAATCTTCCCCATGCATGCACAGGAATGCATCGATGCATGCCTGTGATCGTGAGCTCTTCCCTGGTTTATGGCGAAACAATTGTTCCCCTACGGCACACAAGGCGTCTAGACGCAGACAGAAGAGACACTGCACGGCGGCATTTGCATTTTGCAAAACCATACTCCAGTTTGAAACACATGTACATGTATTTTGTATGTGGTCAGCTATTTTCTTGACGTTCGGGACTGCATAATTATAGAAGTAATGAGGAGAAAATCTTGGGCAAAATGCATGCTAAACGAGAAACGCATCGTTGTACGCCCGTCATGCCACCCTGTGTGTATAGGCTATACTCAAGCGACTCAACCCAGACAGTATAGGCAAGAAACTCAACTTCGCCATTAAGTGTGTATCACCGGGGCCTTTTCGGCGATGCTCTTTGCATCTGTTGACGTCGATACAAAAACTAGGCTTTACTCGTCTGCCAGTCAACAGCGTAGGGGCGTTGTACTGAAGGACTCGATTCCGGGGATGACGAATATTTTTCACGCACAGCATGTTTCTTTCGTCAACTTAGGCCTAATTTGATCGTGTCACTGAACGTTCGCGAGCTTTTGCGATCACTACGAAATGTCTAAATAAAGTTTTTTGTTATTTAAAGATGTAAAATAATCAATCTTGGAAGTAACGTTTTTCAAGCAGTGAATCATGAGATTCTTTCACCGTGGGTTTTTTTCCGACACAGAATGTGAAACCCACGAAAGTTGAGCCTACACTAAACTCAACCATTCCGGTGGTCAATGTATTTTGAGGTCAAATGCAAGAGCTTCGATTTGGTGCATGCTGTCTGTGTATTCTGTCACGGCAGTTTTAATTGACCCGAAGATGCAGTTGATATTCCAGTAATGTACAATTTCGTAGGTTTTAAAAGTGTCGATACAAATGAGAATCCATTGGCTTCTATCGACTTTACATGGCTATGTTGCATTAAAATCGTTGAGTATTACTTTATTTTTTTATACAGTTTTGCTCTTTATCGCGTGTGTTTGTACCTTTGCAAATACATGTACGTACGTGTACAGTGCGATAAATAATTTGAATGGTTTACGGGTGTCGTAGCCTTGCACGCTGTGTTGCCAACACGCCTGGCGGCGTTTGCACGTGCAACCCAGAGCATCGGTATCAGTGGTGCCCAACGGCTCTTCACCGCAGACCGAAAAAGGCAAAATTCGCAACTGTTAGAGGCGGGACCCAGACATGGCTCGCACGGCCCAGTGTATGTTGTATGTTGTAATCCTGTGTGCTCACGAAATGCACCTGCAGCAGGCCTACGTGCTCTGACAGCACGGCGCACACAAAGCTCCTCTCCAGATAACTTCGCCCACATTAATTGTACAGGTTGTCGGCTCAACCTCTAGGTCAAATTGCAGTGCTAAGACTGAGGAAAGCTGCAAGTAAAAGTGGTAGGCAGTGGAAGTGCAGTCAATCTGACAGATTGTTTTTGCCACATGGACCCATAGTACTTTTGAATAGTGACCACGCGACAGAATGACGAAGCACCATCTCATTATTACATGTACCACATGCCCTCAAGATCGTTACACTTTTATTTAATTTGAGCAAAAGAAATGCCCCGAAATTATTCACCGCAACATTTCGCAGTTGAGCAAACATTATTGTGGATTTAGGTTGGCCAACTACTCGGGTAACCCTCGCCCCCCTTTTTTTTTTACAGTTTTTGTGCCTACAAAACAAAATGCATTACACTTCGTTGACAAATGACTCGATATAATAAACCATTTTAGGACATCAATCATTATACTAACCAATCGCGAGGCTTTTGGACGGATTTTCAACAAAATCACGTTGGAATATTGCATACTTCAGCGTGGCGATATGGCGTTTCCGAATTCCAGTGCATTTTGATGTCGCTTTGCTATAGGCACTTCCGCCACTGAACTGTAAGTTGCCAAATTTCACACCTCGACGCGTACGCGGTGGAGGCCGATCTTTATTTAGTGTGTACGTTAATGGCCAAATATCACCGGAGATTTAGAGTATCCGGCCCGAGCTGAAGTGCACCCCCAATCGGCGAAAGAAAGAGAGGTGGTTACAAGCTGGTTCTTGCACGCGTTCTGCGTGTACGCAAGAACCATACATGCCGCAATAAATTAGTTATGCGTACTCATCGCGCTCCGCGTCAAACGCGCATATACTTGTGCGCCTCATGGCGCGTCTAGGCGGCGAGTACCAAAAACAAACAAACAAAAACAAATAAATAAAAAATCACGCCCTCTTTTGTTCCGCTCGGAGCGGACAGGATCCGATTCGCATGTTCGTTGGTACATGGTCGGGTCATTGTGTTCATCATGCTCTCGTCCACAAGTCGATTGCAAATTTCCATGCAAGAAAATTATGACAAGTCGTGCACATGTTTCCCATTTTGGCACTCAAAACACGGCATTGCCGTCTTATCAGCAGGTCAACATACAGTGGCATCACAATAAAATGGCATTTATCGCTATCTCAATGAAATGAGTAGGAAGGGCTTGAAACAGGGGATACTAAAACGAAAAGAGAAAAACAGACTTCTCTAAGTTTATTGGCGAATACCATCTTACATTTTGTATTGTAAGAGTGCATTACATATGCGCAAACAGGACAGCTGACACGAATATTCATCTTGATTACCCTCGGTATCAATACACAAAATGCAACGTTTAGGTTCAATTCATAACACTGTTTAGTTGTCACTTTCTTACAATGATTCGGTGCTTATTACAATTCCTTTTACACAAGCATTCATTTGCTGACTTGGATGACAAACATGATCACTTGTACATGTATTTCATTTCCTGTTTATTCCCCTGTCTGAGGCAATCAGAGATTTGTGTTTGTTTTTTTGTATTGTCTATAAAAAATATTCTCACGAGCCAAGCTACTGCATCTCGAACCCCCTTCTGAGAATCCTGGGTACGCCCCCAAATGGGTAAATAACATACTTAACAAAGGTCATTCACCGATCTCACGGTGTCTGGCTATTCCACTGAGTTCTTCCATTCTATCGCGGCTCATCGTCCCTCATGAGAAATGACTTCAAAACCTAAATTATAATCTGACTGCTGACTTTTTAATTAATGTATTCAGCATGTGAGAGGCGAAGAGCCAGGGTTTTGTTTGCCAGATAACAAAATAATTTTTTTACCGCAATTAGGTAAAATTACTCACAACAGTGGCAAATATTTTGGTATTCAATGCTTTCACTATCAGCTTTTACATATCTGATTTCCATGGTCCTGGCAATTAATGGCTGGATTTGTTCCAAACTTCTCCGGCCTGTGCTATTTCGCCACTGTGCCTCGGCTATACACTACCTGTGATTGCCTGGATTCAAACTATGGAGTGATACCAGTACAAATTGTGGAAGAAAAGAAAATGAAAAAAAATCTTCACAAACAACAAACAGAAAAGTAAATTAAAACACGTACATGCAAAGCAAATCATTTCCTATTTTCTGACTGAGGCATGAGTCTTTGACAACCAATCAAGTCGCTTGATCAATAGGCCTATAGAGTAACTATATTTGTAACTAAACATGTACGGGTAATGTATATAACAGCCATATTATCAACCAGTCAAGTAACAAATCAACGAATATCACATCTGACTCTCCTCATAACAGTTAACCAGAAGCAAGGATACACTTTGATTTCTTCAGCTTATAAGACCCTGGAATCTCACAGCACCACAGGATGATTCACACTGTACAAAAGGCTTGGAGAGGCAATTACCCTAGAACAACCCATTCCCCCAGGATGCTTGAAAATTTACTTTCAAAGATTGGATTGGCCAGTGTGTGGGTAAATGAAGAAAGAGAACAAAATTTTCAGCAAAACAGAATGCCATTGGATGACAAGACACAATAGTTTTAACACCAGTTTTTGCTCAAAACACGACAAAAATTTGAAACCATTACAGAAACGACGACCATGCTGGTTTTGTCTTATTTGTTTTCTGAAGTGCTGCTGGAAATGAGCTTGTTTGGTACTTTAACCCAAACCCCAGGGTACTTTGGCTAGACACCCTGCTTGACACATCAGTCTACATCATCTGTCCAAGTTGCTTGCCTGCCCAGTGTAACAAGAACCAACAGCCTGGAAGCCTGTGGTTGCCAGTCACCACAAGATCCAACAGTGGTGCTGATTAATGGGACTACAATGTGGCTCCCATCGTCTCAACATGGCCAGTTTGTTCAGCTGCTGTTGATTTCCCAGTGCATCAGAGGTATCAGATTTGTTAAACTGATGTACTGTGCTGCGTTTGGCATAAATAGGGTTAATGGACTAAGAAGTCATCTTCACAAACGTATAAATGTACGCTATGAGGGCAGAGGGTGAATACATATATTATGTATAGGCTTTCCATCAAACAGTTGTGACTGACTGATGTTATTTTCTTGCGTGAACTTTCAGGATGAATTGAAAGATTTTGTTTTGTATGTGTATGCTTGTGAAAATGGTTGGAAATAAACTGACTCCTTCTTTGTGTGTGCTGGCAAAAAACGTAAAAAGCAGATGTTAAACCGTCCCTGTGGAGAAGGAACAGCATTAAACCGTTTGTGACCATTTTCCCAGAATGCCCTGGGAAACTGGCCTCTTCCCGGTGACCCAGGGGGAGAGCATTGCATAATTAACTTCCCAAAGACAGACATAGACTGTGTCCCAATCTCTTGGCCATGGCTGGACATAGCACAGGGCCCTATGGAGGCTGCTAGCCTTACGGAGCGGCTTTGTGAATTTTCATAGCCATACTGAAACCCACGAGGCTGGACTCAAACAGAAACAGTCTGGTACGCCGTATCTGTCATGGCTATGTCGGCCCGCTTCAAACAGCTCAATATTCTTCAAGACATTGATAGCAAAAGTCCTTTGACAAATTACAAATGGCTCTTCGTTAATACATATTTATTGTAAAATTATTAAACGGAATTTTGTTTTTATATTAAAGACAATGACTGGCATTCTTGTAATTTTTGAATGATTTGATACATATTAGTGGCTACTGTAAATTTCATCAGGAATACAAACCAAATTACATGTTGCCAATAACTTGAACCAGAAGAAAGAACACACTTGTTGACTTTGTAAGCTATTTTAATACTTAATCTGCGGCTTCAAAGCAAGATCTGTCAGATGAATTGCTAAAACTACAATGACTTTGATGTAGCAAAAAGTGGTTTTTCCAATCAGTGTTACTGATCAAAAACCTACACACTTGACCGTTCACTCCAGACGCATTCTCAGAGTGAGAGACATGCATGGTACCTCGTCTAGGCAATCACGTTTACAACGCGATGCATTCCGGGATCAGTTTACTTGGAGAACTTACGATCCAGCAACTGGACAAGAAAAGGAAAGAAAAGAAGAAGCCAACACTCCATTAAGACTGAACTTCCCCATGCCTCTGAACAACCTATAACATACCGTACGTAGATGTACACACATG